TGAAGTTTCTTTAGAAATTGAAGTTTCTTTAGAAAAAGAAACATTTACATATTTGGGAATAAATGTAACCCGCACAATGATGGAGTTGCGGATTCATAATTTTGACACGTTGCTAGAACAAACATCACAAGATTTTAAAAAATGGGCAACACTTCCAATCTCATTAGCAGGCAGAATAAATATAGTTAAAATGGCAGTCTTACCAAAATTTCTCAATGTTTTCCAAATGATTAAGACAGATTTAGACATATTAATAGCAACATTTATTTGGAAAAATTAAAATCCCAGAATGGAAAAAACATATTTGGAAGTACCAAAAGACGCCGGTGGGCTCTTTTAACACTGGGCGGCTAATATCACCAAATTATTGCACTGGAAATATGTTTATGAGAATAGCGAGGGTGAGGCTTGGGTAAAAATCAAACTGATGTCTAATCCACTTCCCCTCAAATCAAAAACAGAAAATAACAAATCCAGTTGTAAGAACATCTATTTGAATATGGCTTCAATTCAGAAGGCACTTCTGTTTGCAACAGGTTAGTAATTTTTTGCCTGTTGCTTTTAACACTTTTTTTTGCCATCCATTTCAGATAAAGCATTTCATAATAATAATGGTTTGAAGTTTTTTTACAATTTATTTTCAGGAGAAACTTTTAACACCTTTGACGCTCTGATGAGACATTACAATATACCAACCTCACATATGTTTAGATACCTGCAAATATGAAGTTTTGCAAAAACATTGCTTCCTTCATTCCCCTACGTAACTCCTAAAAATCAAGTGGATAATATTTTGGAAATAGATCCTTTTGGCAAAAGGCGAATCTCCGCCATATACAAACTGATACAGAGCTTAAGGCCTATTACTTGGGAAAAAATAATTGGGAAAAAGACAATGGGGTGGATTTATCTGAAGATGAGTGGAAATCTTGCTTGAATCGTATACATACTTCCTCCCTTTGCATTCGCCATGGTTTAACTCAGTTTAACATTCTTCATCGTCTTCATTATACAGAAGAGAGGCTTTTCCCAGTAGCCGATCCTGCCTGTCCCAGGTGTGGACATAATCTAGCAAATGAGTAGGGCTGGGTATCATCACTGATTTCTAGAATCGATTCAATTCCGATTCACAAGGTCCCGAATCGATTCGATCCACGATTCGATTTAATTCAATTCGATTTGAATCTGGGAAATTTTGACAGTCAGAAATATTATAATTCAGATCAGTACATTTACATATTTTTG